ACTCTTAACCAACTGAGCAACTTGGCCAGCCCAGGATTACTGTACTTTAAAAAAAAAGCAAAGTTGGGATGTTCATTAAGATTACGCCTAGGATCTACCTGGGACTTCTGGTCATGTTCTTGGCCCCACCTTCTTCCATCTCCTATCTAAATACTGACCCTGCTGGTTATGGACTCTCACTGAAAGGTTCTGCACTATAATCGAGAGTACATGCTTCCAGTTTTCATGAAGCATTTTTCAAATGGGCTCGTCCTTTACCTTTATGTGCTAGTAGCCCCGTCTAACTAATGTCTTTAGGAATGCCAATGAGCCCTGTGAAAGTCAGGTCTTTTTGGTGGCCAGGAACAGTGTCCCCAGCAAGCTGGAGAAGGGGTTGGCTGTTACTGTAAGTATGGCCATGAGCAAAGGGAGGTGAGTGTCACTCACCTGGGATCTCAGTCTCAGCAGCTCTCTTGGTCAGCCCCTCTCTGAGTTTCTTGTACCATCTGCTCATTTTCTCTTCCTCTGCCAACCGATTTGGCTCTTAGCTTTTCCTCTCATGATTCCTTCTTCTGCATTACGTCAATTTACTAACCGTGGCTTGCTCATGGCCCTTAACTGTCCCCTTCTACCTTCACATGTCTCTAGGGAGCTGTTCAGCTTCAGCTCTTAATTCCTTGACTCTCCAGGTCTCCCAACTTAGGTTCTGGAGTGCGCCGCTCTGGTTAGCCCAGTGCGTCCTTCTCTGGGCAAAGCTTTTTGCTCAAGGCCATCTCAGCGGTCACTGTCCAGCCTATGGCCCTGCTACACTTGGACTTCTGGTAGGATGTGATATGCCACAAATGCAAAACTCAGCCATTATTTCTTGAACGTTTATTATGTCATCTAATATCAATAGTGAATAACTAAGAAAGATATAAGACAAATGTCATTAGATTCTGATAGGTGAGTTTTGGAAAAGACACTGATTATGTCCGTACACCGCCCCCCCCACCCCAAAATGAAGTCAGTTTACCTCCTGAAATAAGCCCAAACTCTTGAGTCTAGATCAGAGCTGTCTACTCAAAGTCTTCTAACCTGCTTTTCTCGTCCTAGCAGTTGTCTTCCTTTTCATGTGACCCATGGTACAGGTGTTTCCAAAGCTTACTCTGAGCTGTTCAGCTTTTCTTTTGCTCCTGGGTTTCCTCCCATGTCCAAATTCTACATGTGCTTCCAAGACCAGCTCAATACCTGTCTATATTCATGCCTTGGGCTGCCACAACAAAGTACTACAAACATGGTGGCTTAAAGCAACAGAAATTCATTCTCTCAGTTCTAGATGCCAGAAGTCTGAAATTAGGTGTTGGCAGGGCTGCCTTTCCCCCAAAGGCTCTAGGGGAGGCTCTGTGCATCGCCTTCTCCAGCTCTGGTGGCCCCAGGTGTTCCTTGGCTTGTGGTTTCACGACTCCAATCTCTATTTCCATCTTCATGTGGCCTTATCCTCTGTGTGTTTGTGTCTTTTCCTCTTCTAAGGACACTTGTCATTGGATTTAGGGGCCACCCAGGTAGTCCAGGATGCTATCATCTCAATATCCTTAACTTAATTACACCTGCAAAGACCCCCTTTTCCAAATAAATTCACATTTATAGGTTCTGGGGTTTAGGAGTGGACATCTTTTGGGGAACCATGATTTAATTCACTATAATCCCCAATTCCTTTGAAAACTATTCCCTAGCCAGAAGTGACCTCTCTCCTCTGGGCTCCCATGCCCTTTATTCAAGTCTCTTAAGGCACCTTTGATGTCTTATTGTGTAGTGTACATATTTTGTTATTAGTAGTAAGAGTGTGGGTTGCAGAGTTAGAAGTCCTAGGTTCAAATCCCATCTCTGCCACTTGCCAACTGCATGGCGCTGGTTAAGTCACTTAACTCCTCTTGCCAGGGCCAGGATGCAACGAGGTGCCACAAAACTTAAGGAGGCGTTCACTCTTCCTAAAGTGCAGGATCAGCTGTCTTGCCACTGAAAATGAGATTTCCTCAAGCGTCCTTAAATTTTGAACTCTACGTGCCCCTCTTGGCTTATCCTAGTTCCCACCTTGCCTTTTGCCCTGGTTTTTCAATCTGTGAAGTAGGGATAATGACCTCCCTGACAGAGAAATTGTCTGGATTAAATTAGTAGCACAAGTAAAAGACTTAGCACGATGCCTAGCATATAGTAAGGGCCCAGTAAATGAAAGCTGTTGTTTCTCTGACTAGATAGTAAGTTCCTGAAGAGCTGGTCTTCACGTCTAGTTCATTTTTATATTCTTATTAACTTTGAACACATTACATTGAAAATAGTATGTGATCAATTATGTTTGAGTGAATGAATGAACATGTGCTAAGTTTGAGTCGTGTGGTAATTGGGTTAGTGGTCTATAATCAGGCAAACCACTCAAGCTTCAAGTCCCTGGATCAAGAGTTCTTGAGTTGATTCATTTCCTTGTTCATGTTTAGTGTTTAGAGGGTTTAGGTGAGGTGCTTTGGATGGAAGGAGTAGAGCCCAAGCCTCAGTAAATTGCTAACTTGGTTTTCAAATTAGAACCATGAAGAAAAAGGCTTCAAAAGTGGGATGCGTGCACACTGGGAGGATTAGCTCGCATCTGGATAGCAGCAGCTCAAATGTGCAAAGTGGCTTTGGTCCATGCGTGCTGGTCCCATCAGGAACGGCTGGGCTCCTTCTCGGTTACGCACTTGCCAGCTCCCTGGGAAGGAGATTCTTTCCTAGAACTCGGAGACTATCTTGCATCTTGCCTGGAACTCTGTGAAACTCTTGGCAGCAGCTGGCCCAGCTGGGTGCACCCCGAAACACCACATTTATTTGATATTGGGATTGATACTCCTCTTTTACATTGTGGTCGGGATTCATTAACTCTCAATAAGGACCAACATTGAAAGAGGAGTTTCCTCCCTTTCTTGCAAAAAAAAAATGTTTCCTTGGATAGGCCACAGATCCTGTAACTGATTTACTCTCCTGGCATAGGACAGCATGTTGTGTGGTACCCTGAGGCTGGTGAGAAAGAGGACAGACTCAAGAATTCCTGGGTGGGAGGACTCTTCCCTGCATTTATCACAATTGCTAAAATGCTACATTTAATAGCTCAAGACTGGTCTGTATTTGCATGGAAACCATGTATGTGTGGAATTCTATTTTTTTACTTCAACATGACCATAATAAGAGCCAGACTATTGATGAGTCGAACGATTAGAAGCAACTTTTAAATTCCCCACACAATTATGTTGGGTTCAATTCTGAGATCTTTGTCCTAAAATTTAAAAATGTGTGTTTATCTAGCAAGCTCACTAAAGAACTCATATTCGCTGCTGCCAGACACATGCATTAAGTTTGCAGTTAGTTCCCCAGTTCTAGGACTGCCTCTATAACCAGCCACAGAATTTAAGCAAAGCAGTCTGGAAGGGTGTTGGGAAGGTTCATTTTAGTAACTGCTATATTTATGTCCATAATATTGCTATTAAACTGGCAAGCATGAAGCAGCCTTCAGTGTGGCCGAGTGTGTACAGTCACCATTCCTGGATGAGCTGTGTGCTTGGAAACAAGAAGCAGAAAGAGGGTTCTTGGCTTCAGGAGTTTGGCTCAATATTTCAATCCATTGAGTCATGTCCACTGTTGCACCTGCTTCTTTTGGAGCCAAACTTGCACATTATCACCATTACTCTTCAATAGCACTAAATTGCACTAATCTATGAAATCTGTGTTTTCCCTTTCTTTCCTTGCCATGAAATAGAATCACCAGGAGCTTGTGGGGGTGGGTTGGGGGGGGGTTTGAAAAATACCTTATGAGTCACTGCTTGAGAAGTTTTTTTATTGTGGTTTTTTTTTTTTCAAGTGATTCTAGTAACGAAAGTATTATAGTTACAGGGCAATCAAACATTTATACTGAAAACAATCAGATGGTAAAGACCTCTGCTTTAATCTACTACATGAGAGGTAGCTACTAGTCATTTCTGAAGCGGTTACGAACTTGGAGTGTGGGATTGGAGAAGCTTTTCCAATATAGGTAGTAGTGCTCACAAAAGAACCACTACCCTCAAAATGCAGAAACTTCGGCACCAATGATGAACTCATTGCTGCCTTTTGTGTCTTACATAAGCAAAAAGATCCTAACGTAAATATCAAGACATGGGTCTACACTCCTGTAGTATTTAGTGTGTCAGGAGACATGAACCGTCCCTTTTGAAACTCTTGAGTGCCCGAGGAACGAGAATAATGCTGCACAGCAAGGGCAGAGGAGTCTAGATCCTTGGTTGGCAAACTCCAGCCCCAGGGCCGGCCTGTTTGCGTAAATAAAGTTTTACTGGCACACAGCCATACTCATTCGTTTACATATTGTCTGTGGCTGCTTTCATGCTACAACGGCAGAGGAGAGTCGTTGAGACAGGCACTGTATGGCCAACAAACCCCAAAACATTTTCTCTCTGGGTCTTTAAAGGAAAAGTTTGCAGACTCCTGGTCTAGACAAATAGTCAGATGAGTCAAGTGTTGGCTAAAGGTCCTCAACTCACGATGCCAAGAGAAGGACTGGGTTGGCTTTGATTGTTGTCATGCACTGTGTAATTTAAAAAAATCTTTACAAGCCAGCACAACTAAAATTCCTGTTCACCTGATTTTGGAGCAGCAATATGGAAAGTAAAATTAGGTATGAATATAGTTTATATGTTACCTGGATTTCTAAAGTTTTGCTCGACTGCTTAACTGTACAGAAGTCAATGCCATTTCTTCAAACTTTTAAGAAGATACAAATGTTGGTGATCACTAAAGTACTGGTGTTATGTTTGTGTCTGTGCAAAATTCTACATTCTCAAAACCATGTGCTGTAGCTATAAATGTAGTCCTACTTCAAGTAAAACTCTTCAATCGAATTATTTTCCCAATCTTTGAAACCAATTTTAAGAGTCACCAGAATTCTGTAGTTTAAGACACCAGACAAACATTTCTTGGCTGAGACTTCCAGTACCAACATATTGGACCAATTCAGTAAAACATGCCATAAATTATATGACTGTTTTATTTGAATTAATGGAACACTTTCCACAATGGCAGGAATTGTTACCCGGAGTTCAAAAGCCAGACATGGGCTCTAAATTATACATTGGAGATAGATTCGAAGGTTGCCTTTGTAGCCAGGTTTGGTTGGTCTGGTCAGGAGTGCAGGTTAAAAGACCAGAAACGGTTAAGATTACAATCTCAATAGGTCTGAATTAAAGAACCTACACAAATGCAAGACTATTGGCTAGAACAATATTGTACTGACATGTCAGAAGTGATCTGAAGGTTTTGAAATGTCCTTACGGATAGGGCTTATTATTTGATGTTGGTTACAATGATGGCTAACTCTTCTCATTTAAATATTAGGTAGATAATAAGTAACAGACATGATTACAGACTCTACCTGCAAATGTTATTTTAGTAGATATGTGACTAATTGCAGCAGAAAAATCATCCAGGATACAGGAACACTGGGCTTCCTCCCTAAATTCAGGTTGGACCCCCTGGCTGAGTGTTATATCTAAGATTGAAATAGCTGGCATCTAGTTCTCTAATCATAATTGTCCATTTACCTAGATGAAGTTATAAAGCTAGACATAATGACTTAGGGAATAAACGGTGTGTTAATGAAACTATCACTAAGAATTTAAATATGATTTTTGAGACGTATGTTAAGAGTTAAAACATATAAAGCAATTTGATAAATTATAAGAGGTAAACAAATAAAGGCATAGAATATGAAGTTTTTGCCTTCCATTTCAATTTCAGCTAAAGAAAACATCACCATTGTGTATTTTTATTTTAAAAATTCATCCTAATTCTTAAATTTTTTCTTGCTTAAATAGTCCACTAGTCAAGGTCTTTTAGTTTTGGTATGTCTCATCACAGAGTGCCACCTGTGAATTCGAATTTTAAAGACACCCTTAATTTTAAAGGATGGTTATAATAGGGCTAGTGTTTAGAAAAGATGACTCACCATTCTTATTTAGGAATAGAAAGGTGAGACCTTTATTGGGAGGTTCAAAAAAGACGTCTTAAAAAAAAAAAGGAATGCTCTTAAACCTTTGGTTCAGGAGTAAGGCTGTGGGGTAAAGTGTCTCTTTAAAGCAAAGCAACTGACACTACAAGCCATGTGGGAAAAGCAGCCTATGTGTTCTCAGCCAAATCGTGGGTGCACATTTTTGTGTGACATTCCTGCTTGGATAGCCAGGCTCTAATTAAGATCTAGCCGGTTACATGATCACTAGGGAGAGGTCCATGGTGTGGGGAACACTTCAAATTACATTCCATGAAAACATTAGACTTTCAAGGCTTAGGAAGGCCCTGAGTGTCCATAGAAATGGAGGTGGGGTAAAGAACTGGAACTAATGCTAGCACATGTCAGCGATAAATAGCTGCTGACACAAATTGAACATGTGCAATTTTTTAAAAAGGTGGTATCGAATAACAGGCCAACAGCCATCCCTCTCGGCATTTTAGACTTCTTTCTTCTCTCCACTTTGGCTCTTTGTTGAGTCACTTCCATCAGGCAAAGTTCCATAGGATAAGCCGTTTGAATCTGGTTGTATTTTATCCAACATTTGTTTCCCTGTGGAGATAATAATCACAAAAACTCTTTTGAGCTCTTACAGAAGAATAAGTTGTAATAACTTCTCTATCTAGGCCACATTTTATTCCCTTTTTTTTTTTATGCTATGTGGTCACCCTCTAAACAGAACAGATAATGGCAAGGAAGAAAAGGCCCTTGGAACTCCATGTCCCCTGATATGTGATCATGCACTGTCCGTGTGAGACAGCGCTCTCCCCACCCCACACCGTTGAACAGCTGGGCAGAGAAATCAGGTTGGATCAGTTGGGAGATTAGCATGAAGCGTTCACTCATCTCCCAGGCTTGTTCCCCAGTGTTCTGTCTCCTTTTCCATGTTTAGACTAACGCCTGTAACAACATAGAATAATAGTCTCTCACAGTGGCTTCTAAAGCTGTTACTCATCCTACATATGGGGCTTTGTGAAATGAAAAAGTGTTAAAAATAAGTAAACTTTATTTCCTACCAAAGAACCTCTATCCATACAAGTCATCTATAACACAAACTCTTGCCACAGATGTCAGTTCTTGCATTGAATGCTCTTAGTTGATAAGATGGCTCAAATGTGAAAGAGAACGCAGAATTCATAGGGCTATATTTTCTCAGTTGTAGGGATGAGGCTTTAATGGCTTTTGCTTCAAAGGCTCCAACAAAATGGTGGAGGAACTTGTGAAAACATCACTACTTCTGTGTAGAAACTTATAGGTCACCTCAAGCCCTTAGCAAAGCTCGAGATTGTTGGGGGTTGTGGGCAGGCCAGGAGGTGAGGACACAGCAGACTGTTTCCTTTGTTCTAGACATTGCTTCTGTTGTTGGCATAACTAAAGCAAGTTATTCTCAGTGAGAGTGGAGAACTGGAAAGACATGCATGTTAAACCGGTCAGGATGAATGAGGTTAGTGGGAGGAGGAGAAGCTACTCATGTTTGGGTGTCTGAGAAGAATGTCACTCTCGGTCCCACAGTGCACAAGCCCCCTCAGTCTGCCCCAGGAATGATGACCCTTAGCAGCCTAACCTCCGTCTTTAGATAGTTCCTCAAAGGCTCTCCAAGCGGCAGGGGTCAGCTGCTGGTAGCCATTCCCTACTCCTTTCTACTCTTTTCCAATTTAAGGAAACTCCAAGAGGAAATTTGCAACATCATCCAAATCAAGAAAACAGGGCAGTTCTTTCATATCCCCAGTGTTCTGTGCAAACTCAACCTTCAAATAAATGATTATTAACATTTACAGTTAAAATATCACCTGTGGTATCATCATTAAATGTACATTTTTGGAGGATAAGAATTACGCTTCATATTATTCTAATACTCAATACCAGTAATTATTAATTTATGAGGATAAAAATTCTCTATTATAAATGAAAGAATATACAGCTTTACCAGGAATATTTCCAAAATCAATGTAAGACTGTGGCAGATGTTCCTTTTCTCGATTTCTTGTGATCAAAAACACACCAAGGAATGACAGAAAACACCTGTAAGAATAATATTAATAAAGAACATAAGAACACTGAAACAACTCATAGTATTAAATAACTGAGCTCCATATTCTACATGATGACATAAATTCCATTGGTTTTGTTCTTCCTGTTTCTCATGGTAAGCTGCCTAAAACTTGTCTTAATTGCTGCAGCCAATAATATTTGTCCCCAGAACCAAGACCTGGGCAGCTTCCAAAAAATCTCTGCCCCAGATTTTTACCATCTGGAGGCTAATTCAGGCTCTAAACCCTTTGGGTAGACATTAGGTCTCATTTTCTATCTATGCATGCCAAGACCCATTACTGGCATGCAACATGAGCAAAAAAATAATTTATTCTTTAATTTTCTAAGAAATTTGGTTGTCCTTGGCCATAAGAATAGTTATAGTATCCAGATCCCAGAAGTTTAGCCTTGCCCAAATATCTTATGAAATTGAATTTTCAAGATAGATGGTTTTCTACACTGAAAGTAGTCTGGGCTCAAGCTTGCATAACAATGGTCATGCAGAATACAAGATCAAGGAGCAGCTAGGCATTAATGGAGTGTCACTGGAACCAATGGACAATCCCATACACTGGCGGTACTCTGTCAAAGTTCTCTCTCTGCAAGAATGCCAGCAATCATGCTCCAGGACAGGGTAAGCCTGGGCACCCAGACACAAAAAAGGGATGTTACCAATCTGATATTTTTAGGTTAAAAGCTAGGGATTTGCCTGTCTTGGCCTTTTATTCTAGGTGATCCTAGAGGTATCCGTGGTTCCCTGACTGAGATCTAACGTAGAGGTTCCCAAGGGCAAGGTAGGTCTGATATAGTATGAAAAGGTCATGGAGTACCTACAGGAGCCAGTAGATTTATCCTGACTTTGGCCGGAACTGAAAATCCCCAGTGTTTCAAAACGGCCAGAGAGACCCCTAAATCATAAAGTCAAAGACACTGAGCCCTGTGTAGGGTGGTAAATTGAAATATATATTTCTTTTAGGAGCTGAAGAAACTATTATTTCTTATATTATTTTCCAATTTTCTATGCTTCAGATACAATGCCAAAAATCCTACAGAAAAGTAACATTTCATATACCTCACCTCTGAGACATTTACTCACCCAAAAAGATATATAAATATAGTGAGAAAAGCTGCACCAAGGAATTCCTTATAAAATATGACACCTATAACAGGAATAGAAGAAAAAAATTAATTTTAGGGTAAGAATATTTACAATAGCTACACACATTGTTTTTCAAATTATGTTAATACCGTAGGCCTCCTTTATCCTTAATTTCATTTTCTGTGGTTTCAGTTACCTGTGGTCAACTGCGGTCCAAAAGTTTTAAATGGAAAATTCCAGAAATAAATAATTCATAATTTTTAAATTGTGCGCTCTTTTGAGTAGTGTGATGAACTCTCATGCCCCCAGGGTAGGAATCATTCCTCTGTCCAGCATATCCACCCTGTATGTTCTCTGCCCATTAGTCACTTAGTAGCCACCTCGGTTATCAGATGACTGTTATGGTAGCACAATGCCTGTGTTCAAGTAACGCTTATTTTATTTAATAATTACCCCCTAAGGGAAACCATAAGGTGCTTCCTTCTAAGTGAAAAAGTATGTATGTATAGGAAGAAACATAGTACATACAGGGTTTGGTACTATCCGCGGTTTCAAGCATCCACTGGGAATGTATATCCCACGAATAAGGGGGGACTATTGTATATTATTTTTTCTAAGTATAGTTACCCTTAAAATTCACATTCAGTAGTTTAGTTTAAAAACATGTGCATGGCATACTTACATTTTCAATGATTCCAAAAAGAACACAGATTTGTAGATTTTATATAATGTGCCATTATTATAAAATCAACACAACTGGCATAACTTTTGCAAACAGAAATTTCTTATCCAGTCCAGAATATGTCCGACTATAACATGCAAGAAAACAAAACTCTAGTAACATTTCCCACCTACAGTCTAAGGCCAGGGGTCAGCAAGCCTGACCTGAGAGTCGGGGTGGCTTCTGGCGCCTTTGACATAGCACTCACACTTGAGGCCAGATGCTGCCATGCTGTCACTTCTGGCAATGCCCTGTGGTCTGCTGGTCTGGCCACATGCTCACTCAGGCACTGGGGAATATTGGAGCAACTGACTTGCTACCCCAGCTCCATTACTCTGCCAAGCCCTTCTCCCGTCTCCTTCTTGTCTTCCCTTTCGGGTGAAGGAAAACATGAATGTGTCTGTCACTTACTCTGATGAGCTTTTCTTCTTTCCTTGTTGGTCTCAATGATTTCTTCTTGGTCTAAGGTCCCAAAGCCTTTATAGAGTTTTTATTAAATAGGTATCTTTAAATTACATATTACCTGGTGTTGTGTTAGCCTTGATAGCTGGTCAACAAATATTAATTGAGAGTCCTATGTGCCGGCCACTGTTCTCAGTACTGCAGATAACACGATGAACAAGACATAGTCCTACGCTCAAGGAACCTTCTAATTCTGAAGCCTATCGCCTCACCTAGAGAATAAAATTCTTATAGGAAGAAGCCACACCCAGTTCTAATGAATATCTGTCAAATGAATGAACCTTTCTGAAGCATTTTTCCATGTTATTACACACTTCCTTATAATCATTTCAATGATTTCATGTTATTTAATAAGCTGATGTACCATAATCATTTTTCTAAGGGCATTTTAAGTTCTTTCGATTTTTTTTGCTTTAGTAAAGTATCAATAAACTTCTTTGTACATATTTCCCCCCCAGTATTTTAGAATTGTTGTTGTTACTTGAAGTGGAATTTGTTTTAAAGAGTACAACCTTTTAATTTTAAGAATTGTAGTAAAATACACATACAATTTGCCATCCTAACAATTTTTAACTTTACAGTTAAAAAGTTGTGCTAAGTAGATTCACATTGTTGTGCAACAAATCTCCAGGACTTTTTCATCTTGCAAAACTGAAACTCTATACCCATTAAACAGTAACTCTCTGCTTCCTTCTCCCCCAGCCCCAGGCAATCACCATTCTACTTTCCATTTCTATAAGTTTGATGACTCCAGATACCTCATATAAGTGGAATCATACGGTATTTCTGGTTTTGTAACTGGCTTATTTCACTTAGCATAATGTCCTCAAGGTTTATCATATTGTAGCATGTGTTAGAATTTCATTCTTTTTTGAGGTTGAATACTATTTCATTGTATGTATGTATACACTATATTTTATTTATCCCTTCATCTGTCAATGGACAGGGTTGCTTCCACCTTTTAGCTATTGTGAATAATGCTAGTATGAACCTAGACATACAAATATCTGTTTAATTCCCTGTTTTCAATTCTTTTGAACATATACCCAGAAGTGGAATTGCTGGATAGTTACTCCATTTTATATTCCCACCAACAGTGCACAAGGGTTACAATTTTCTTACATCCTCACCAACACTTACTATTTTCTGTTTTTTTTTTCTAGTATTCATCCTAATGGGTATAAGGTGGTATCTCCTTGTGGTTTTGATTTGCTTTTCCCTGATGACTGGTGGTGTTGAGCATCCTTTCATGTGCTTATTGGCCATCTGTACATTTTCTTTGGAGAAATGTCTATTTAAGTCCTTTGCCCATTTTTTAATTGGGTATTTGGATTTTTGTTGTTGAGTTGAAGGATCAGAGTAGAAACATTTTTAAGGCTCTTGATAAAAACTATGAACCTCAGTTCTAGGGGAGTGGTACCATGCTACCCAAAACTCCACAAGAGTGCCTGTGATACTGCAGCCTTGTCAGCACTGGTTATTGCAATAAAAAGAACAAAACAAAACCTTTACTAATTTAGTAGGCAAAATATGGACTCTCATTTTAATTCTAAGCTATACTTTTTTTTTTTTTTAGCTGAGCCATCCTGCTACCTGTTGGCAGCTCAGCAGCTGCTCAGCTCGGGCCAGAACTCGAACCGCTGTTGCTCAAAGCTCAAACTCTTGTGTGAGCTCTTAACCAACTGAGCCACTCGGCTGGCCCCTAAGCTATACTTTTTGATGGAGGTGAAGAGGAAAAGTTAGTCAAGAAGCTTCACCTCCATTCCACATTTCAGTAGTATCAGATGAACTGTTATCATTCCTAGAAAGTTCCAGCATCCCTGACTTATCAGTTATTCTATGTGCTGAGTATTGAGATCCAACCCTGTTGGTCCTACTACAAAAGGTTCTTTTGAGGGGAACTACATTTTTAATATACCTTTAGCACATTAATATTAACTGTTAGGCTATATGTCATGGCTATAATTCTTTTTGACCTTGTTCCTTTTCAAATAATTCCAGGGCACATAAATGTGCAATCTTTTCCTACTCTCTTTTGTCAACAAGCATAAAATGCTAAAGAAAATTAGGTGTCCTGGGATATAATCTTTGTCTTTAAAAGTTTGGTTCAATTTTTGGGAAACAGAAAACATATTAATTACTTTTAAAAATTGCCCACTGGCAGTTACATCGTTTGCCATGAAATAAAAAAGACATGCCAATTAGGAAACAGATAATTACCTCAAAAATACATAAACTTTGCACTGGGAAATGAACTCACAATATGAGAAGCTAGTGAAGACATCCAATGAGCCAAAGAACTAGGGCATACCAGTACCAAACCTAGGAGTGATATACCTGAGTCTACTGCATTTTGGTTTGAACCAAGTTTCAAACTGATACTTTTTAAAAGACTACTCTGTCTGATGTATTAAAATTTTTTTCCATAAAAAAAAAATATCTGCAATAGTAGAAAAACGGGCCAGAACAGCAAAAGTAGTAGTTTCTATTTTTATCTGTCTGGCTTTCCCTGAAACACCGGATTCAGTTTGGGATCCCACTCTCTGATCAAGGTGGTGAGGGCCAAGGAGGGAAGAGTTAATGGAGTTGGGGATGTTTGGCCCAGAGACAAGACACAAGAGGACCCTTCAGCTGCTTTATCAGAAGTGCTGCCAAGAAGAAAACTCCAGAAAGCAGAACTAAGATGTGTGCCTTGAATTCACAGGGAGGGCTAATTTCAGCTTGGGTATAAGGAAACACTTTCTAATAATTACAGCTCTCCAAATGGAGCAATCCAAAATGGGACTGAGCTGTCTCAGGCCACAGAGCACTGGGGAGCAGTCACACAAAGGAGAATAACCTGTCCTAGAGTATGTTATGGAGGAAATTCAGACACTGTGTGGGAGCTGAGAGGATGTGGGCTACACAGGTCCTTCTACCCTAAGGATTCTTTGATTTTCTCATTATGCTTGCTATGGGCGTAGAACACCTAAGTATAGAAAGACCAAACTCACCTGCAATAATGGCACTGGTTGTAAAGAAAATATGGTTAACTGGCACCACCATCGTTGTATTGTAGAGTTTCGTGGCTTGATTCAGAAACCTAGAGCAGAAGGCACTTACTGAAACTCTGGCTTTAAGAGATGCTCGGCAAAATGTTAACAATAACATCAAGAAATGCTTGTTCTTTAGCTACAACTACAAAGAGAAAGGAAGTGCAGTAAAAGGGCATTTCCAATCAGCAGTCACAGCTTATATGCATCTGATGTATGAGATCAGATGTCAGGTTTTATGGTCTGTTTAAACCAACAACAGTAACAATGAAAAGCAATTAATCATATTCCGAGGCCACAGAAGTTTGAGTTGGAAGCGATTCAAGCTGCTGGACCAGTATCACGCTGAGGTTGATTCATTACGATAGACCCTAGAATCTGTTAAATATCCTATCTGGGGAATAGTATAGCTATGCATTGACATGGCACGTGCCAAAAAAGAAGATGGAGAAGTAAAGGAATGTTTAATGTTTCAAAAACAATGCTGATGACTCCAGCTGCAGAGCACATGTGGGAACTCAGCTTCTCACTTTGGCCACCAACATAATTTAGATTCTCACAACTACGCCATGTTGCCCGGTCATGGACTAGAACTTTGTCTAAAGCAGTGCATTGCACTGACATCACCTGGGCACTTTTAAAAAGCACTAATGCTTACTCAGGCCCTATTTTTGAGCAACTGAAAACAATTTCTTTTGTGGGTAGCCCAAGTGCACCTGTACATGCATGTACATGCGTGCAGGTGTGTATGCACACATATGCATGTACACATGCAGGCATGTTGATATGTGCATGTATACATACATATATGTACATATATGTGTAAACAAACCTTCTCGGGAAATTTTAATGGGCAGCCAGGGCTGAAAGCCACACTTCTACAGTTCTAGTGGGTTCATATAGTTCTAGTGTGAAAGATGCAGGGACTGAAACAAGGGTGGTAAGAATGCAGATTACCTTCAATTGTATCTGACTTTTAAATTCATAAAGCATAGTTTAAAGATAATGATGCTAATCACCAAATTCCAAAAGATAGTATAATAGTACTGATTAATTCAGAAGAAGAAAGAGAGATGAAACAAAATAGCAAGATTCAAGTGTTAGAAACACTTTCAGTTTCATAAGGAAATGACAAATGAAACAGTGACAAAATATTGGGATTCTTCAGTAATTAATTCTCCATACTCCTTGTCACAGGGCTTATATTCAACCCATAACCTTTAGACTTTATTTCTAGCACCTAAAGGAGGAACTATTCTCTTCCCTAGTTTGGGCTCTGATTTCCTAGCTAAAGCTGGGATGGTGCTTTTGCATAGCATTTTGGGGTAAACAGAAAACTTTCTGGTTGACGCAAGAGAACCTAGCAGGCAAAGGCATAATCATAATGTGAAATGGAGGAGAAGCGATTGCAGCAGATGGAGGTAGGGGGAGAGAGGAGCAGAAATTAAAAATGCTCCATGTCACCACTATTAGGCCCCAGGAGAAACATAAAACAATCATTCTGCAATCCCATGGGTACAAAGCAAATGCTGGCCAAAGACGCAAAGTTCTGGGGAAAGGATTTCCCTCCCGGCCAAACGTCTGGTTTTGTCCATCCCTGGGCAATTAATGAGCATGAGCTAAGAAGTGAAGGTGAAGGGTTCATGTATTTCCTATACTTAGAATGAAATCCTGGATGTGGACCTGCCCCTTTGATTTATTGCTAATGACAACCTGTGTACAATGGGTATTAATTACAAGCAGGAGAGCATCAGGAAAGTATCAAAGTGTACTTAGCTGGATTATGGCTGCACTTTAGAACTCACAAGATGTGAAGGCAATGCTTAGTAAAAACTTCTCATTGGATGCGAAGGATAAAGCAAGGCATGTTGGCTGAGGATAAGCTGTAGACCCTTCACCCTTCGAAATCAGTTGCATCTAATTTTAATTATCATCTGAAGCCAATAAAGATTAATGCTGAGAGAAGCACAGGAATGTTGAAAGATTAGTGAGGATATAGGAGCTAACTTACTTGACTTGGAAAACACAAGATGCTATCATGATGATAAACATGATATAGAAGATGGGATAAGTTAGTTGCATTTTATCCGTCACAGAAAAAGTGATCATGCTTGAGACAGCTTTTACTGAAATAACAGTCAATGAGGCTGAAAAAGAAAGAACATAAATAAAATTCATATTTGAGACAGAATTACAAATATCTTAAATTTACATGGTCGAGTAAGTCAGTACCCCAATTATGCTCTAAGAATGAAAACTGTTGTGAGAAGTGTAGGGTAGGATGTGACACTAGCCAAGCAGTAGCCCTGTTGCTGACGCTGCTGGACTTTAATCGGCTTCTATCAGCTAGTGATCTGCTGTGTGACTGCGTGTGTTTTATCTTTGGAGCAAGATGCTTATTTTCCAGCCCTAACTGATGAAAGGGTGCTACAGAGGTTATAATTACTAGTAGATGAGAAAGGAGAAGCAATGAAGGGAGGAGATAAGAAAAATCAGATTGTCCACGTGACATGATGGGAAAATAACTATTAAGCTAGACTGAAAAAATTTAAAGCCAAATAGATGAGAAGACTGGAAAGTGAAAAGCAAATCACTCCGTGAGTTTACTCAGAGTTGTACTTAGTCTATGTATGAACTCTTTGTTAATAAATGCCTAGAAGTTTCATTAAAAAATTTTTTTTGATGAAGATGCTAACAGGTAGTGGGATCAGAGCTGAGTATTTATTTCTCAGAGTTGTCAACTATAAATCTAAGATTTACATAAGCATGTCTACTTGTTTTCTATGCTAAAGAGGAACCTATCCCTTATGAGAACAAATTTTTCTTAGGCTCCAAATAGCAAAGAAGAAAAAGTGACTTGATAAGGTTATATATATATCAATTTGAAAGCAATGAGCATTTTCTGGAAACAATGTTCCTGTAGGAAAAAGACAGTGTTTTCGCTTTGTCATAGGTCCCTTAAAATTACTGTTGCCAATAACTCCAACACTTAGCTGAAAGCTACAGAAAATTAAAAAAATAATTTTACATGAAATAAAAAATAATTATAACTGAAAGGAAATGTGAATGAGAAATGCTATTTTTATTGCTATTGATACCTGGTCATAATATAGCTGAACTTTATTGAAAAGGGCATATCTCTCTCTCTCTCTCTCTCTCTCTCTCTCTCTCTCTCTCTCTCTCTCTCTATATATATATATATATATATATATATATATATATATATATATATAATAGCAGGTGATGGCCAATGAGGAAAAGCATTCCATACTGTCCTTTTCCAAAAATTGAAAACATACTTTAACTTGAGGTGTATTAGGGCACACTTCCAAATTAGGCATTTTCTTTCTGTTAAAAGTCATAATTAACAGAGGAGGCCAGGTGATAAATTCTAAAAACAAGTCCTCAATCAGGACAAAGAGGCCCTTAGAGCCAGGCCCCTCTTCATCTTAAAATGTCTTTTGACTTGATCCATTTACCTATTTTCTATGGATTATAATAGTCATATCTTAGCGAATCCAGGGGTTTTAAATATCTAGAGAGAGGGGTGTCACTTGTTGGTTTAAGTTCGTAAGGATAGCTCTTGAGGGACCTCGATTTCCTCCCAAACACTTCCTTGTGATTAGAGCACAATGTGGTTATGGTCTCGGCCTGAACAGCCTGGTTTCCCAAGGGATCATTAATGGAGAAGCAATTGAACACACTGTTCCATTAGCCTCAGAACCTCAGGATTGCAAAGGCCCTTAAAGGTCATCTAATTAAAAAAAATACATCTAATTCAACCACCAACTGATGATATTAAATTACACAAAACAAAAACAAAATTAGAATTGTTTATTAAACTGCTAAACCAACTATCAATTGCTGTCCCCAAATCATTTTTAATATTTGGGTATTGTTTTTGTAGTTATTTTTCTACATGTGAGTATGAATATATCATAACATGTGAATCATACAGTACATACTACATGGGAACCTATTTTCTATTGCTGTTAAGTGTTGTCTATGCCATTAAGTATTCTAAAGCATGATTTTTATCAGCTGTATGCCTTTGTATGAATGTATATTTTACTCTGGTAATTCCCCATTCTTGGATATTTAGATTGTATCTATTTTTTTTGGTGTTAAAAATGAGGCTGTGATGGATATCTTTGAACATAAATCTTTGTATATAACTGCCTATTTTCTTAGGAAAATTGCCTGAGGGGATTACTGTGTTGATAGCCACTGTTCTGAAATACGCTGGCAGACTGCCAACTAAAGAGTACCAGTCATATTCCCATCCTTTTTGTGCTCTAGTGCTCTGACTAGTACCCACCTGGTACAGTTATTACCATATTAGATTCTATTCCCTATACTTTACATCATCATGACTATTTTGTAACTACCAATATTTATTTCTTAATCCCTTCACCTTTTTTACCCTACCCCCATCCCCTCTCCCATCTATCACCTCAGTAAATCTAGTACCCAGCTGACACCATAGTTATTACAATATTATTGACTATATTCCTTATGCTATACCCTGCATTCCTATGACTACTTTGTAACAACCAATTTGTACTTCTTAATCCCTTCCCCTTCACACCTTTCCAACTCCTCTCCCATCTGGCAACCATCAAAATGCTCTCTGTATCTATATGTTTGTTTCTGTTTTATTGTTTGCAGTATTCTTTATATGTGCTACTTGGGATTCGTATTTATACTGATTTTAAAAAATGAAAGCTTTCTTCTTTCTTCTTATGTCCCCAAATAGTTTGAACATCCGAATAATCTGTTCCTTAAACATTTAAAGACATTGTTGAACATAAAAGAAAGTCTAGGACTGGCTCTTTTAAGGATGTAGCTTTTGAGCAACTCCTCTATTTCCTCCATAGTTATTTTTGTTTAAAAAATAAGTAACTTATTCAAGTTTTCATATTTATTTTCATTGTATATGTGTATTATTTCTAATTTGGGGTATTTCCCCCCTTTTTTTCTTATAAAGGATCTACTTTATTGTCTTTTAAGAACTGATTCTTGGGTTTATCAATGCATTGCTTTTCTGTTTTCTATTTCATATATTTTTGCCTTTATCTTCATTAATTGCTCCTTTCTGCTTGCCTCAGCTTTATTTCTATAAAAAAATTCATAAACAGAAACCTGATTTAAAATGAAGTAGGGAGGCCAGAGGTAAGCTCTCACACCCTACCTGGATTACAAATCACAAAAGGGAGAACATATAATAGCCCTCCCAACTGCCTCTCCCCCTCTATAAAAGAGTTTCCCCTCCTTTGTTTTAGCGAATTGGCACATTGCGCTCCATGGCTGCATGCTTCAGATTGCAATTCTTTATTGTTCCCAAATGAACCTATTTTGCTGGAGAAATATCTGGCTGGATTTTTGTTTAAGGTCAACATTTTAGTGTTTTTTTCCCTTTACTCTTGAGTTGAGTGCTTACATTTAAAGCAATGAATTTCCTTCTGAATACAGCATTAGCTATAAACTATAGGTTTAATATTAAATGTTTTCATAGTAATTAAAAAAATATATGCTGCAATGAAATCTTGGTTTCTACTTTGGCCCAGATGCAGTTTAAGAGTAGTATTAACATTTCTAGGTGGTATGGTTTTACTGGTTTCTATTTTTATTATTATTTTCTGTTTTTATTTCATTGTGATCTTAGAATGTGGTCTGTACTAATTCAACTTCCTGGAGCTTATCCAGGATTTCTTTGGGGCCAGTTATACGATCAACTTTTGTAAATATCACATTGGTACTTAAAAGGTGTATTCCATGTTTTCAGGATTTAGAGTTCTACAGTGCAGCTGCCAGATCAAACTTATGTATTCAGTTTCTCTATCCTTACATATTTTTCTGTCTACTTATCTTCTATGAGCTAAGAGAAGTCTCCTACTCTTATATTTCTATTAACATATTTTTTGAAATAGCTGCTGCCTGAGTCTCCTGAGTGCCTTTTCCCCTCTAATGGCGGGGTGGGGTTTACTGCTGGGCGATCCTCACCACGGCTGGGGCGCCAGTTTAGAGCCACCTTTGCGGGGGTGGGGGGTGGGGGGGGATGGGGAAACCCTTTTCT